TCGGAGCCAATTAAAAGGTGTGAGATGCCTCCATCAGTTCAGTTTTAATGTCGCTGTCAGAGCAGTCAGTGGGGAGGACATCAGCCCCCGAACCACATCCTAAATTAATCGCACTCGGAGATAATCACATAACCGACAATTAACTCCATTCCCCATTTAGTATTCCCCCTACCCATCGACACACTACACACACATATTGCACGACTACACACCAGTCTCACTGCACACACAGATCCCCCAGCAGGCACGACACACACATGAACAAATGTTACTGTGAATATAAGCTTTGTTAGGTTCAACAGTGACGATAACACCCCCTTTTTCTTTTCTCTGAGGGCGGTGTGGGGGGATTTTTGGTGATTTATACACAAACACTAAACATTATAAGTGACATCATTAATCAGGGATGTGGAAAGTAGATTGAGAAAAGCGTTTTTTTGCCTCCCTGGAAAGAGTTTCATTCCAAAAACATGCAAAGAAACATAAAAAATAATCATAAAGTCTTTAGTGGTGCAGCAATTAGCCGATTTATCGATTAGTAGATGGACAGAAAACTATTTTGATCATAGATTTCTAGTCATTCTTATGCAGAAATTGAACAAAATGCTTTTTCCAGCCTCTAAATTAAAAAAGATGTTCTGCTTCCCTCTGTTTAATATCACATTATCCCATTTAAAGAGTCCTCTCCAGCTGATGTTCAGGTGTATATCAGTATGTAGTGTCTTTACTTTAAAGAGTCCTCTCCTGCTGATGTTCAGGTGTATATCAGTATGTAGTGTCTCTACTTTAAAGAGTCCTCTCCTGCTGATGTTCAGGTATATATCAGTATGTAGTGTCTCTACTTTAAAGAGTCCTCTCCAGCTGATGTTCAGGTGTATATCAGTATGTAGTGTCTTTACTTTAAAGAGTCCTCTCCTGCTGATGTTCAGGTGTATATCAGTATGTAGTGTCTCTACTTTAAAGAGTCCTCTCCTGCTGATGTTCAGGTGTATATCAGTATGTAGTGTCTCTACTTTAAAGAGTCCTCTCCTGCTGATGTTCAGGTGTATATCAGTATGTAGTGTCTCTACTTTAAAGAGTCCTCTCCTGCTGATGTTCAGGTGTATATCAGTATGTAGTGTCTCTACTTTAAAGAGTCCTCTCCTGCTGATGTTCAGGTGTATATCAGTATGTAGTGTATCTACTTTAAAGAGTCCTCTCCTGCTGATGTTCAGGTGTATATCAGTATGTAGTGTCTCTACTTTAAAGAGTCCTCTCCTGCTGATGTTCAGGTGTATATCAGTATGTATTGTCTCTACTTGAAAGAGTCCTCTCATGCTGATGTTCAGGTGTATATCAGTATGTAGTGTCTCTACTTTAAAGAGTCCTCTCCTGATGATGTTCAGGTGTATATCAGTATGTAGTGTCTCTACTTTAAAGAGTCCTCTCCTGTTGATGTTCAGGTGTATATCAGTATGTAGTGTCTCTACTTTAAAGAGTCCTCTCCTGCTGATGTTCAGGTGTATATCAGTATGTAGTGTCTCTACTTTAAAGAGTCCTCTCCTGTTGATGTTCAGATGTATATCAGTATGTAGTGTCTCTACTTTAAAGAGTCCTCTCCTGCTGATGTTCAGGTGTATATCAGTATGTATTGTCTCTACTTTAAAGAGTCCTCTCCTGCTGATGTTCAGGTGTATATCAGTATGTAGTGTCTCTACTTTAAAGAGTCCTCTCCTGTTGATGTTCAGGTGTATATCAGTATGTAGTGTCTCTACTTTAAAGAGTCCTCTCCTGCTGATGTTCAGGTGTATATCAGTATGTAGTGTCTCTACTTTAAAGAGTCCTCTCCTGTTGATGTTCAGGTGTATATCAGTATGTAGTGTCTCTACTTTAAAGAGTCCTCTCCTGCTGATGTTCAGGTGTATATCAGTATGTAGTGTCTCTACTTTAAAGAGTCCTCTCCTGTTGATGTTCAGATGTATATCAGTATGTAGTGTCTCTACTTTAAAGAGTCCTCTCCTGCTGATGTTCAGATGTATATCAGTATGTAGTGTCTCTACTTTAAAGAGTCCTCTCCTGCTGATGTTCAGGTGTATATCAGTATGTAGTGTCTCTACTTTAAAGAGTCCTCTCCTGTTGATGTTCAGATGTATATCAGTATGTAGTGTCTCTACTTTAAAGAGTCCTCTCCTGCTGATGTTCAGGTGTATATCAGTATGTATTGTCTCTACTTTAAAGAGTCCTCTCCTGCTGATGTTCAGGTGTATATCAGTATGTAGTGTCTCTACTTTAAAGAGTCCTCTCCTGCTGATGTTCAGGTGTATATCAGTATGTAGTGTCTCTACTTTAAAGAGTCCTCTCCTGCTGATGTTCAGGTGTATATCAGTATGTAGTGTCTCTACTTTAAAGAGTCCTCTCCTGCTGATGTTCAGGTGTATATCAGTATGTAGTGTCTCTACTTTAAAGAGTCCTTTCCTGCTGATGTCCAGGTGTATATCAGTATGTAGTGTCTCTACTTTAAAGAGTCCTCTCCTGCTGATGTTCAGGTGTATATCAGTATGGAGTGTCTCTACTGTGACATGTCTCCATGCTTTAATGATCAAAAAGCTCTTTATTTTTCTCATACTTTTCACCCTCTGTCTGAAACCAGAGCCCAGTCTGCTCTGATTGGTTAGCTGGCCGGCTCTCTTAGCCTATCACGTACAATGTGTTGGAGTGCTAGCCAATAGAAGTGCAAGTGTTATATAGAGATGTCACTATGTTAACAAACTACAGGAAAGGGAATAAACCCAAAAACCAGAATAGGGTTTCTTTAAATGAACATATTTCTTGCCTTTTGGAGTAATTAAATAAGACATTTAAAGACATCAACTTGGACTTCGAAGACCAAAATAATTGATTTATCTAGAAAATAATCCACAGATGAATCAAATATTAAAATATCAGTAGGTTTTAGTCCTCTAAGTCTCATTTTTTCTGACATTAGGGTAAAGCACATGTTGTACCTCTAGGCTGTTGGAAACATACAAAATGTCCTTTGCATGTAACAGACATTGTTTACTATATTATCACACCTTTAACGACCAAATTAATTGATTTATCTAGAAAATGATCCACAGATTAATCAATAATAACAATAAATGAAAGTTTAAGCCCTCTAAATCTCATCCTGACATTAGAGTAAAGCACATATTGTACCTTAAGAATGTTGAACGTCATACAAAATGTCCTTTGCATGTGTTTCTGGAATGAAACCCTTCCAGTTCAGAGAGTTGTTATTTGACGCCGAGGCTGTATTTCATCAGATGAGCCTCACTTTGACACAAAGCCTTTCTGAGACAGACAAAGACCAGAGAAAAACCTGCTGGAGGAGGGGAATCTTGTTTTCAGGCAAAAATTGCACGTTATTATCAAATTGCACCTCAGACAAATAAATTGCACACATCATCGCAGCCTGCCGTTTCCCCTCCGCTGTTCACCTCATGACAAACAACTGATTCTGGATCAGCTGCAGCCTGTTGGCACTGTGTGGTCGGCACTAAGGGAGGGGGTGGGGCACTGATCTGAGAGCTGTAACGGCACTGAGTGAAATAAAACGACAAACCATGCTGCTCACATTTACTTGACATTTCGCTAGCTTACAGTAAACAGGTTGTATTTAAATATAGAGCACCAATAAGAAAGGATGTGGGTTTTTTTACAGGAAGGCAGGGAAACCAGTAGGCAAGGATTTTGAGTTTGAGCTAAAACGTTCTACCTTTCTCTACATCTCTAAGATCTTGGCAATTCAGGTTCTTAAATTAGAATACTTTAACCTCTTTGCATATACTATCAAGCCTCTGAGTTTCAGCAAGCAGCTGTTTTAATGATAAGGTGCTCAGAACAGTCATTTTAAATGTGATAGACATATGTAATCCTTTATAAATTCAATGTTTTATCTTCTGCACCTAATTGTCATGTTGTTGACATTAGACTGCCACAGTGAAAAGTATTTCTTCTAAGGCAACAAAACACAATTGCATATATTAATTACATCTTTAATTTTTTTGTTATTTTAAACTTTGATTACAAATGTTGAAGCTAGACCTAATTAGAATCAATTAAGGGATTCAATTAGATTTGAAAGGAAAGTGAAAACTATTTAAAAAGATTAAGTTTGCTATCAAACTCCAAAACTTAGATGAGTTTAAACCAGATTTAAAAATAAATACACTTATCACAATAATCCATGTTTACTGGAAAATGTCCGTTAGCACTTCTGAGTTTTGTTTTGTCAGGTGATCTGATCCTGGAGCAGATTTAGCACCAGTGTGTTAACAGAGCAGTTCATCTGGGTTTGACTCAGCTGATCCTGAATCAGTGGCTTTCCAATCGGAGGCAACAAAATAAAAAATACATACAGTAAACACATCACAGCTCTCTGGTGAATTCTACTCCAGAGAATACTGCACGGTACAGGGATGAGAAATCGGAAAAAAATACATTGACATGCTCAACGAGACGGAAACTAAAGGAAAAAATCTCTTAAAGGTCACCTATTATGCAAAATCCACTTGGTTCATGTCTCTTCTACATCACCATGTGTCCCCTCTTCTTCATGTCTCTTCTACATCACCATGTGTCCCCTCTTCTTCATGTCTCTTCTACATCAACATGTGTCCCCTCTTCTTCATGTCTCTTCTACATCAACATGTGTCCCCTCTGTGGAAAGAGACTCTGAATCCTGATCCATTTCTATAAAAACCTGTCTGAAAATGAGCTGATCAGATTTGGCCACTTTATGATGTCATAACGATGTTTTGTCTTGTGTAACCATTAGCCAATCAGCAACCAAGGTATGCCCCCCCCCGCCCACCTTATCACCTGAATCTCCTCCTAGAGCACCAATGAGTTCTTTTTAACCAAATATCTCTCAGAGGGGCGTGGGGAGGGGCTCCTTATTTTCATCTAAAGTAACAGACAGAGAATCAGCACTTTGGAAACAGGGCTGAAACAGAGGGGATTATGGGATGCTGCAATGATCTGTTTGGTGTTTCAGCCAATCAGAGACAGGTTCTGTATATATCTGAGACCTGGAATATATTCATGAAAAACAGTATAATAGGGGACCTTTAATAAATCACTTCTCATCAAACCAAGAGGGTGTTGTTCTTGTTGGGGGGGTACTGTGGGTGATGTAGTCCGGGTCACATGGCCAGCGTTCGGGCTTTGTTAGCGGCCGCCTGCGCCCTCAGCACCGCCCCCTGGCTGCTCTCCCTCCTCACCAGCTGGCTGCTCTCAAACAGACCCTCGTGGCCGCCGCCGGGGCCTCCGTCCAGAAACGTCAGTATTCCTGCATTAGAGAGAGAAGAGTGAGATATTTCAACAAAGATTCAAGATTCAAGGCTTTTATTGTCATGTGTACGTAGCTACAGTGCAGTTATGACAATGACATTCTTAGGTCACAAGCTCCTCCAACAGTGCTACACAATAAAACAGATAATAGTGCAAGTAAATAAAAGAAAATATAATATAATATAAATAGTGCAGAATAGTCTATAAACCAGTAATTGGAATATTGATATATATGAGTTGCAAACAGATGAAAGCAGAGAGGACCAAGTACAGATTCTGACGTTGAAGGACATTCACTTTCTTTGTCTTCATTCGGTAAACTTCGCTCAGTTCACTGCATGCGATTTCGGCACCGTTTACATTTACCCAGTGTGACTTTTGACCTTGTTGTGTTGTTTCAGATCGCACACGGTTGTTGTGTTAACTACAATTGTTCACGGTAACAATAACAGTCATTACAGACTGCTTTTTGTTGAGGGAGCTCTTTGCAATGCTAACTTTAGGGTCAGTCCACAAAAATACGTCATCCCCCCCGTACCAATCTTTAACCAATCTTTAACTTGGAGCTATTCATTGCGCTGTAAGATGTATTTGTCATGACATCACCTGTATAAAAACATGTTAAGTTAAAGGGGACCTATCATGCAAAATGCACTTTTGTACGTCTTTTCTACATGAATATGTGTCCCCGGTGTTCCAGGGAACTCACCAAGTGTCAGAAAACACAACCCTCTCTATTTTCCTCCATACCCAAATCTCTAAAAAAGGGGCTGCAACGGATCTGATAAAAACTGATCCAGATTTGAACACTGTCCTGACGTCAGGACGGTGGCGCTACGGCTATTGGGCCAACTCTCCACCTATCAGGAGGAGACAGCCACGGCCATTGCCGTTCAAAAGCGCTGGAGACGCTGTAGTACATATGCCAGGCCTGTAGATGGTGCTGTTCTCACAGAATCAACCCTTGCAAAAACAGAGCTAAAAAATGTCAAATTGAGCAAAATGAGGCATGGCTAAAATGCATGATCTGTTTGGTATTTTGAAAAAAAAAAAGTATAAATATGCCTTATATAGGTATGGCCCTACACTATATTATTCAAATATAGCATGATAGGTCCACTTTAAAGAAATAAAAGCAAAAAAAAGAGGCGTCTGGTGCAGTGGGTTGAGCCTTGGTGTTGGGCCAGGGGGTCACAGGTTCAAACCCCACTGCAGTCAGCATGTCGTTGTGTCCCTGAGACACTTCACCTCAAATTGCTCCTGTGGGGATTGCCCACAGTATTGAGTATGTTAGTCGCTTTGGATAAAAGCGTCTAACAAGTGACATGTAATGTAAATACAACTTTTAAATTCTTCTTTTGTCTGCTTTGGTATGAACTGAGTGGTCATTACATTAAATAACACTTGTTAGACTCTTTTATACAAAGTCACTTACATACATTCAATACTGTGGGCAATCCCCCCCAGGAGCAATTTGGAGTGAAGTGTCTTGCCTGGGGAGTGGGGATTTAACCAAAAGATCCGCACACTACCGCACTGAGCCACAGCCTCACCAAAAAGAAACATATTGAATAACTAAGCTGACACTTCACCTCTCGTTTGAGTTTCATCACCTTAACCTGTTGTCTCTTGTTTGACTTCTCCCCTCCTTCTACCTGAACTTGGGTTAATGTTCAACTAAGAAACTTCATAAAAGACTTTTAGGAATGACGCCCTTCCTTTAAAAACACCACATCATTAGATCTCAGGAAGCTGAAGGAATCTTTATTATCTTTATTTTTACAAGCACAAAAATGAACCAGTTGTCAAGGTGACGCAAATAAAAACGTGTTGATTACCTCCAGAGTCTCAGAAGCACACAAGGGGGCTTCCGACCGCACAATTAACACGTTGTCTGTTTAATATTATTTGAAAGTATTTAAAGCATCAAGTATCAGAACAATGAAGGGATCTGTGACAATGTGAGAGTGACAACGAATCTCAAGACTGAATAATAAATATCCACTTAATGTAGGAGTGACACACGATTCAAACCTTTAAGGAAATATCAAAGTAAAGTAATGAAATTCAAAGTCAAAGATTGAGATACTAAAATAAACATCAAGAAATGTCCTCTAACATCATCCTTATGTTACATCTCTTTTAAAATCAACATCTTTACCTGTTGCAAATTGACCAATCAGAATCGAGTATTTGTCTAAGACGTGTTATATGTTATATTATTGATTTCTTATATTCATTTACTTCTAAAGGCTACCTCAGAATTGTAATTACTGACTTTTACTTTGCACCACTGCTTTAAAACCTGGTAGAGTATCTTAAAGGGCCCATGTCATGCTTTTCCGGTTATTACCCGTCCCCTTGTGTGTTATGAAGGTTTTTCTGCATGTAAACGGTCTGCAGAGTCAAAAAAACCTCAAAGTACACCCTGTAGCGAGTAAAACTCTAACACAGAAAAGACCTCCCCAAAACGCCTCGTTGGAGATTTCTCATTTTCCATTGTTTACTTCCTGGGTACTGTGACGTGGGGAGACCCAGAGGCCACACCCTCTGCCAGCCTTTCACGAAACAAAGCTTCACAAACCTTTCAGCGATTCATGCCGGATATGTACAGCGTAGGGCACTGAAGAACGATGCTGTTCCTACTTTGTTTGGACCAGCGGGAGATTCGGGTACACAACCTGTAAGAATTCATTGTTGTTTGTGTATTTATGATGTTTAAAACAAACAAGGTATCTACCACGACTGTTTAAATGGGTAAACGTTTTTCGGGCTACTACGTTGGGATGGCGGAGAAATGCTCTCCGCAGACCCATGCTCACAGCGTTACAAACCTTTTTCTTACTCAATATCAAGCCACACTTATTGTTTTTACCCCGGCTGTGAGTGTTTGTGTGTGCTCAGGATGAGTTTAGCTTGTTCTCGCTGTATCGCCGAGAGGCTCGTTGCTGCGATCTGCTGCGAGGAGCGGACAGATCGCAGCAACGAGCCTCTCAACGTCCCGACCAATCAGAGCACACTGGGCTCACAGGGGGGGGAGGGCAGGAGCTCCAACAAGCCGTTTAGGACAGAGAGTGAATACACATACTATACAGAGATGCTGTATGAGAAACCAATGTGAGTTTGGAAAATTGCACAATATAAATCTATTCTAGTAGACCTCAACAATGGAATTATGATCAGTAGAAATGGCCATGACATGGGACCTTTAAATACTAAATAAATAGTGGTTCGGAAGCTGCACAGCATCAAACCGCAAGACCCTGCAGCGTGTCGTGAACACTGCTGAGAGGATCATCGGTGCCTCACTCCCATCACTCCTGGACATTTATAACACCCGCCTCACCCGCAGAGCACTCAGCATTGCTGGTGACCCCACCCATCCCTCCACCTGCCTCTTCATCCTCCACCTGCCTCTTCACCCTCCTGCCTTCAGGGAGAAGGGTCCGCAGCCTGAGGTCGAGCACCACCAGACTAAAGAACAGTTTCTTACACCAGGCTGTCAGGAGGCTGAGCTCTCTCCCCTCTCTCCCCTGCCCCCACTGGACTATAACTCCTCACACACTCACGGCCCGTCCACACGGCGGCGTGCGTTGAAGCTTCAACGCTTCTGCCCATTCACTTTGAATGGGGTGACGTCACACTTTGCCGAACTGCATTGTGGGAGCGTCGCTTCGCGTTGCTCGCATTGCTCGCTTCAAAAGTTGAGCAATGTTCAACTTTTGAAGCTTCGACGGAAGCGTCAGCCAATCAAATCATATGCCAGTACAAGCTCTAGCCAATCAAACCGCGGGAGATTCATGTGATTGGTTGTCGGTCGAGCTTCAGACACGGCCGCCGGCAAGCTTCAACGCACGACGCCGTGTGGACGCTGCATCAGACACTCAATTCCAGCACACATTTTTACTCTGCTATGGACAATCTGCAATAAATGCACATTTTATGGACAATCTTGCACCAAAGATATTGATATTGAAGTGACGGTTATTTTGTATATATTGATTGTTGTGTTTTTTTTTACCTTAATGTGTTGATTGTGAATATAGGATATACATACTTTATACACCTTTGTATACATATCTGTATACTGTATAATTTTACATTCGGGATTGTTGGAAACGTCATTTCGATCTCTCTGTCTGTAAACACAAACTGAGTAAGATTGACATTAAAGTTGAATTTGACTAAAGAAGAACTTTCTGATAAGATTTCTTCATTTGTTTGTTAATTTTGACGGGGAGAGTGAACTAAATGAACATTAGCATGAAATATATGATGTATTTTGTAAATATAATTAAGTCTCAAAGCAGGTCACAAACACAGAAACATAACAAAGTCTCAATTTACAAATACAAACATACAACACACAAGTGACTACATTTAAAATAAATAATTGAGTAGTGATTTCTTACCGTATCCGTCCACACAGCCGCTTTTAAACTCGCCCTCGAACCTCATCCCGTCGAAGCACGTGAAGACGCCGGCGCCTTGAAATTTACCCTGCACAAATTCACCTTCATACCTACAAATAAAACATCAACAGAAAAAACAAATACATGAAATGTCTCGCCTCAAATCTTTGGAGAAACTTGTTTTTGTGTACCGATTAGTGTTAAATAGGAAGGGTAACGACCCAGTGTTGAAACAGTTGAGCCAAAACCAAAAAGCTGCTAACTTTTCTTTGTATTTATTAATAAAAAAAGGCTTAAGGTTAACTAAAGTCACTCTTAACTGCCTTCTTTTGTGGGAAATCATTAAACATAACTCAATCATTTATCAAACAGAAACACCAAGAGTTATTTAAGAGACGACTATGATTTTTGCTTTTTACGAATTTAATTATATCTCCGATTCAGAGTCAGATAAACAAGATATTCTAAGACGTTAGCGTGGGCTTTGTAGTTTACGGTTCATTATTTGATCAACTTATCAGGAGTTTAGAATAGAATAGAATAGAATAGAATATATCTATATTGTCATCATACAAAGTACAACGACATTTTTTTGGCAACTCTCACTGCAGTAAAAAATAGACACAATAAATAAATAAGAGTTTCAGACTGATGCTGTACCTTTTCTTTCCTCCTGCAAACAGCTAGGGAATTTGCAGTAACTCAGTAATGAAGCTCAGCGTAAGTTCAACCAGGAAGACCGTCTTTACTCATTCATGTACTATTTCCATGCTACTACTCTCTCTCCTCTCAATAAGTGATCGGGGGCGTCACTCCCCAGCTTAACCAATCACTTCACTCTATTCTCACAAGCCTATCATAGCACTCTGCTAAACCTTTTCAATCTGCTCTCCCCCCTCTGTCAGCTGTCATTTCAGGTGACTCGACGCAACCCTCCTCCACCCCTTTTCACCTCCTGTCCCTCTGAATCCAGGGTCAAGCTAAGCCACTCCCCTTCAGACCGAACCCCAACTATCCATTCACCACCACCAGGGTCAAGCTAAGCCCCTCCCCTTCAGACCGAACCCAACTATCCATTCACCACCACCAGGGTCAAGCTAAGCCACTCCTCTTCAGACCCAACCCCAACTATCCATTCACCACCACCAGGGTCAAGCTAAGTCACTCCCCTTCAGACCCAACCCCAACTATCCATTCACCACCACCAGGGTCAAGCTAAGCCACTCCCCTTCAGACCAAACCCAACTATCCATTCACCACCACCAGGTTCAAGCTAAGCCACTCCCCTTCAGACCGAACCCAACTATCCATTCACCACCACCAGGTTCAAGCTAAGCCCCTCCCCTTCAGACCGAACCCAACTATCTATTCACCACCACCAGGGTCAAGCTAAGCCCCTCCCCTTCAGACCGAACCCAACCATCCATTCACCACCACCAGGGTCAAGCTAAGCCCCTCCCCTTCAGACCGAACCCAACCATCCATTCACCACCACCAGGGTCAAGCTAAGCCACTCCCCTTCAGACCGAACCCAACTATCCATTCACCACCACCAGTGTCTAGACCCCGGGGGGTTTCATCGGATCGGTTCTCCCCTCCCGAATGATACTCCCGCACAACGGGGCCTAATCGCCAAAACTCTGTTACATTCATTTGTGTATTCCTGGCAATAAATATGTATTCTTACATCAAAACCGTCTCTCCTGATTGAAGTATTGTTATATGCAGCCACTTGTATTTTTCACCTGTTTTGGCTGTTAAAAAGCTGCTAAATGTGGGTCCCTGGATGCACCAAATCACACATCTTTGAAACCAACTTGTTTTTTACCAAGCAGTCATTAATGTATTCATACCCCTTCGTTATTAGGAGTTTTCAGTTTCACAGTTTAAAAGACAGCTGAGACAAAAAACTGTGAGAAATGTTTTGTTTTTTTTAACATACCCAGCATGTGACATCGCTCCAATGTCAGACAGCCTCACACTGACAAAAGACTGAAGTGCCAGGAGCAGAACAAGAGCTCAAAACATCGACAAGAAGTCTTTTAAGCGACCTTGGGTCCCATGAAAGGCGCTATATAAATCCAAGCTATTATCATTATTATTATTTTATAAAACATTGAAGTCCATCAAACGGATTACTGAGAGCCACAGACGGGGTGAGGCGGATACAAAGAGCCAAAGACATTCAACCGCTTTGACTTCTCCCATCCAGATACAAGAGGATGTTGATTTAGTGACACAAAATAAAACTAAAGTTCAACAAAATATTTGTCACCTGGAATATGTAACTTCTGTGAAAAGCAACACTCTTATAAGAGCCTCTTTTCAAAGTCCAAGGACAGCAACTTTTGATTCTGAAAAGACGTATTTTCTGCAAAATATTCATTTAGATTGATGTTTTAATATTTCCAAAGCCCCTGAATAATAAAAAGTGAGTTGTTTTTTAAGTTTAGCCCTGAACACGTCCTCTGCTGCACTTTGTACCTGCGCTTCACAAAGAATACAAATCTCTGCAGACTGATTTTTTTCACAGGTCACACACTTCAATTAAATTATTTCTCCTCGTAAATAAATGAAGAAATGAAGCAGATGTTTCCGTCTGCTCTGGAATGTACTTCAAAAACAATGTCTTTAAAAATGCTCTGATGAAAACATTTAAGCAAATATTCAGAAGTTAGAGAAGATTTAGTTTCATTCATCGAAGAATTAATGGTAATATTTCTTTATTTCCTAACACTCAAGATCTTTCTGAGACTAATGAACCACATCAGACAAAGACTAAGGTTAACTAAAGTCACTCTTAACTGCCTTCTTTTGTGGGAAATCATTAAACATAATTCAATCCGTTATCAAACAGAAACACAGAATATTATACGTTTCTTTGAGAGACGACTATATGATATTTGCTTTTTATTAATTTAATTATATCTCGGTTTTTGAACTTTGAGTCAGATGAAACACAATATTTTAAGACGTTACCTTGGACATTGTGGTTCATTATTTAATTGTCAGGAGTTTCAGACTGATACTGAGTTCATGAAGTTGAAGCCAAATGTGTAAAAGTTACTTTTGAGATAATCAGAAAATATTTGGCAACTATTTTGCTAATTGTTTACATTATTAAAGCAAAAATAGCAAAACAATGCAAAAAAGTATGTAATTAGAACGTATGGTAAGAGGAGGCTTTGTGGCTTTCCCTGTCATATATCATTGTTAATTAAATATGTTAAGGCTTTATACTTAAACTATTACAAAAAGGTATTTTTTAAGAGCTTGCCTCAGCTTCAGATATTTTTTTTCTCTATCTTTTTACATTTCAGAGTAAGTGATTAATCATAATCGACGAAAAATACATTTCCTGAGTGCCAAGATTTGCCAGACAACGTCCTGCCAGGTAATTTTAACAATATTAAAGTAACTTAATTTATATAAAATGAAACTCTGATGGAATGAAAACCCAGATGAGGTTGAAGAGGTATTCAGGCACAGTGTCATTAGGTCAAGCTTTTAGATAATGCTCAAAAGCAGCGGTTCCAAACCTTTTTCAACTCAGGGCCCACTTAAGAATCTAAAAAATGTTTGTGGCCCACATTCAACCATAAACAATATGGAGGCTAAATAGAGTTCTGATTGGTCAATTCAGAACATGTGACACGTTGTAAATCCAGTAGAACAGACCGCTGTCAAGGACTGTAATGACCGTTGCTAAGGAGAGTCGAGAAATTGAAAGGAAAGGAGGTTCAAATAAAAATAAATCTTAATAATGAAAATGTTTCCACACAAATCATAATATTTTGCAAATTATTTGGCGGCCCACTTGCAAGGTCCACAGGCTGGGAACCGCTGCTCTAAAGAGTGCTTTAACTTTAAAGGTCAAAGGTCAGGGTAACAGGAAGTGAAACACAGACCTAGATTCGTCGGGGAAGACCAGCGTCCCGCAGCCGTTGAAGAGCCCGTTCTCAAACTGTCCGGTGTAACACGTCCCGTCGCTGAAGGTCAGCTGACCCAGGCCGTGACGCAGACCTGAGGAAACACACACACACACAGATCATTTTAAATCAGGGGTGTCCAAACTACGGCCCGGGGGCCAAATGCGGCCCGCGGCCCATTTTGAAACGGCCCTCAGCAAGTTCAGAATGTATAATGAAATACGGCCCATGAACTTGTGCTTGTCATATATTGCACTTCTTAACTACATCTGTAAACATATATTACACAGTAGTATTCATGTGTTAGTACGCTCCCTTTTCAAACACATTCAGTCAATGAAAGTTGGAAAAAATGTCAAACAAATCTTAGTTAATTAAAGAAAGCCAACAAGCTTGAATTCTACCCTTTATATTTCCTCTTTGTATAAGCAATCTGAGGCTTCTGTTTTAAGGAATGAGCTGCCAACAAAATAAATGAAACCCCATGGAGAGCTGAGATGTAGGCTGTTGTGTTTCTCAAAGCACATTAAAGTATCAAGAATAATTTACCTATATCAATCAATCAATCAATCAATGTTTATTTATATAATTGTTACATTTGTCTCAGTGGACTTCACAGTTTGTACAGAATATCAGGATAACAATATGACACCCTCTGTCCTTAGACCCTCACATCGTACAAGGAAAACCTTCCAGAGAGAAACCCCACAGTTTAAAGGGGAACATGGGAGAAACCTCAGGGAGAGCAACAGAGGAGGGATCCCTCTCCCAGGACGGACAGACGTGCAATAGATGCCGTGTGTATTTGATTGATTTTGCTAACTTAACTGAATTGATAAGGTAATCAACCTCTAGTGCAGTGACCATCAACTGGCGGCCCGCGGGCCAAATCTGGCACGCCAGACATTCTCATCCAGCACGCGCTGTGGCACTGGCGGAGTGGTTAGTGCCTTCGCCCTCCACTCATTTTTTTTACAACGACATGAAAGTGTCTCTAGGAATAATTTTGGCCACAATACACACAATATTCTCAGAAAAACTCGTCACCTGGAATATGTAACTGCTGTGAAAAGCTAACGTTTTATAAGAGCCTCTTTTCAAAGTCCAAGGACAGCAACTATTGATACTGAAAATACTTATTTTCTGCAAAATATTGATTTAAAATGATGTTTTAATATTTCCAAAGCCCCTGAATAATAATCAGCCAGTTGGTTTGTAAGTTTAGCCCTGAACACGTCCTCTGCCGCACAGATTAGGTTTCCAATAAATAAACATGTTCTTCAAGGTTCTGCAGAAATGAATGTTTTTGGAAACTGGTGAATTTTAAGAGATGACGGCATCGTTTCCTCACCTTGGTTGGTGATTGGCTAATGGTTACACAAGCCAAAAAAATCATTATGACATCATAAAGTGGCCAAAATCTGATCAGCTCATTTTCAGACAGGTTTTTATATAAATGGATCAGGACAAAAAGTGAGAGAATCTTTGTTCCTGAAACTTTCAAAATCTCTTTACACAGAGGGGACACATGTTGATGTAGAAGAGACATGAAGAAGAGGGGACACATGTTGATGTAGAAGAGACATGAAGAAGAGGGGACACATGTTGATGTAGAAGAGACATGAAGAAGAGGGGACACATGTTGATGTAGAAGAGACATGAAGAAGAGGGGACACATGTTGATGTAGAAGAGACATGAAGAAGAGGGGACACATGTTGATGTAGAAGAGACATGAAGAAGAGGGGACACATGTTGATGTAGAAGAGACATGAAGAAGAGGGGACACATGTTGATGTAGAACAGACATGAAGAAGAGGGGACACATGTTGATGTAGAAGAGACATGAAGAAGAGGGGACACATGTTGATGTAGAAGAGACATGAAAAAGTGGATTTTGCATTATAGGTGACCTTTAATGATGCGACAAATCTCCAGGTTCAGGAAGATGGAGGCTTGAGGAGACGGGAGGGAAATAGACGAGTGTTTCTCTTTGCCAACTTCTATTAGTAGGCCCGGCGGGATTTAGCAGAATAACTGTGTGGTACAATAGGACACTGAGGAGGTCCAGGGTTTCTCCAGAAGCTTCACGCTACAAAACGGATTTACTGTGAGCTCGCCAAGTGGCATGAAACTAGTGGAAAGGGTCGGGGGATTCCTTACAGAGGATTGGGATATGCTTAGTGAGTGTTGCTACTCTACCAGCTAATGGAAAAGTAAATTAGGCATCCATCTGTCAGGCTGCTTAATGTGCTGCCTAATCTCAGCAGGGTTTTCACGGGAGATTTGGAGAAGAGATTTGGAGATCTGGAGCTCTATATGGAGCGGTGAAGATAGACGTGTTTATGCAGGCAGAAGTTATTATTGTGAGGGCCACCTTGACAAAAAGCCAATGGGACGTCTCCATTGGATTTTGTTGATATTGCAGAAAAAAAGATTGGCCAGATTTTAACACCACTTTTTGACGTAAAAAGCTAATATTTCTGTATAAAGGAAATACAGCACGGTCACATGACTTCACTTCATCACCGCTAGTCATCTTATTTAGACACTTGTTAGCATCCTCTGTTTTAAATTCACCGGTGGGGTATTGGGGTACTGACGTAGTTTATGTCGTAGAACAAAATGTTAAAATCTCTTCCACTTGTGTTAACCACAGATCTTATTTCTGGCTTCTAACCAAAACAACGTTCAAAACATCCTGATGATTGAATTTAATTTAATAGTGTATGTTAGTGATGAAACTTCATCAGAAATTATTAACAATAGTTTAACAACTTTGATGATGCTTTAATCCTAATTTATCAAACAAAAACACCAAATACATACACACTGTCTGATCTGTTTTAAAAAATGAATGTATGTTGCTGTTTACTGTTTCCAATCATTCAAGATTACATCTGGGTTTGAACAGTTTGATAGCATGATATTTGAGGACGTTACTTTGGACTTTGGGACATTGTGATGCCTGGTTTATTATTCTATATGCCTTACAATGAATTGGTTAATCATTCAAACAAATCTAACTGCTACTGAGTGGATAAAGTTGGAGCCTAATGCGAAAAAAGAACTTCATTTATTTATTTGTCATTTAAGAGTCTGCAGTCCACAAACGCCAAGAGTCCTCCATCGAGCATGAGGAGTATCAAAGTATGACTGATGTCCTTAATGAAATCAAGAAGCGAGAGTGAAAGCGCTTAACGGACCGCTCCGATGCCAACAGTTTACTTTTTTCTGAAGGGACAGATTATCAGCAGTAAGGGACAGTCATTTCCTCTTGGATTTGATCCCTGCAGACAGACTCTAATCCGTCTCTCAGCTCTTTTGTAACGCCGTGTCGGGTCATGCTCTCCGGCTAATTACGGTTTAGCTGAATTTGTCCGGCTTTTATGTCAATCAATAGCGGAAATGCATAGATGTTAAACGACTGTACAGTGGGGCAAATGGCCTCCGACTGGCTGCTCTGGAGCTACTTCCTGTAACCCGATTCCTTCAAGCAGCGCACCGCTGAATTATTCATGTGACACCGAAGACCTCTGAGCAACACACCGCCGCGTGTTTGTGTGCAAACAGTGAATTCACATGCATGGACGCAGAGACGCACCATCAGACTGTGTTTATGACTCCAAACACACACACAGTTAGATATTACAGTGAAGTCTGGAGTGAAATGGACATTTTAAAGAAAAAACACATCCGTTTTAAAAGGGTTTGTTCCATGCAACTAAATATGTTCCAAGGAGAACTTCAGCTCTGTTTACACAGGTGGGGAGATACTTCATTTGAGTTTCTTTACAGCAAGTAGAAAACACTTTTTACAAGTAAGTAAGGAGAGCCAACTAAAAGGGAGTCATTTCCTATGTTTATGTGTATTTTCAGGTTTAACAATTGTATGTAGTGTCTCTACTTTAAAGAGTCCTCTCCTGCTGATGTTCAGGTGTATATCAGTATGTAGTGTCTCTACTTTAAAGAGTCCTCTCCTGCTGATGTTCAGGTGTATATCAGTATTTAGTGTCTCTACTTTAAAGAGTCCTCTCCTACTGATGTTCAGATGTATATCAGTATGTAGTGTCTCTACTTTAAAGAGTCCTCTCCTGCTGATGTTCAGGTGTATATCAGTATGTCTCTACTTTAAAGAGTCCTCTCCTGCTGATGTTCAGGTGTATATCAGTATGTAGTGTCTCTACTTTAAAGAGTCCTCTCCTGCTGATGTTCAGGTGTATATCAGTATGTAGTGTCTCTACTTTAAAGAGTCCTCTCCTGCTGATGTTCAGGTGTATATCAGTATGTAGTGTCTCTACTTTAAAGAGTCCTCTCCTGCTGATGTCCAGGTGTATATCAGTATGTAGTGTCTCTACTTTAAAGAGTCCTCTCCTGCTGATGTTCAGGTGTATATCAGTATGTAGTGTCTCTACTTTAAAGAGTCCTCTCCTGCTGATGTCCAGGTGTATATCAGTATGTAGTGTCTCTACTTTAAAGAGTCCTCTCCTGCTGATGTTCAGGTGTATATCAGTATGTAGTGTCTCTACTTTAAAGAGTCCTCTCCTGCTGATATTCAGGTGTATATCAGTATGTAGTGTCTCTACTTTAAAGAGTCCTCTCCTGCTGATGTTCAGGTGTATATCAGTATATAGTGTCTCTACTTTAAAGAGTCCTCTCCTGCTGATGTTCAGGTGTATATCAGTATGTAGTGTCTCTACTTTAAAGAGTCCTCTCCTGCTGATGTTCAGGTGTATATCAGTATGTAGTGTCTCTACTTTAAAGAGTCCTCTCCTGCTGATGTTCAGGTGTATATCAGTATGTAGTGTCTCTACTTTAAAGAGTCCTCTCCTGCTGATGTTCAGGTGTACAGTATATCAGTATGTAGTGTCTCTACTTTAAAGAGTCCTCTCCTGCTGATGTTCAGGTGTATATCAGTATGTAGTGTCTCTACTTTAAAGAGTCCTCTCCTGCTGATGTTCAGGTGTATATCAGTATGTAGTGTCTCTACTTTAAAGAGTCCTCTCCTGCTGATGTTCAGGTGTATATCAGTATGTAGTGTCTCTACTTTAAAGAGTCCTCTCCTGCTGATGTTCAGGTGTATATCAGTATGTAGTGTCTCTACTTTAAAGAGTCCTCTCCTGCTGATGTTCAGGTGTATATCAGTATATAGTGTCTCTACTTTAAAGAGTCCTCTCCTGCTGATGTTCTGGTGTATATCAGTATGTAGTGTCTCTACTTTAAAGAGTCCTCTCCTGCTGATGTTCAGGTGTTTATCAGTATGTAGTGTCTCTACTTTAAAGAGTCCTCTCCTGCTGATGTTCAGGTGTATATCAGTATGTAGTGTCTCTACTTTAAAGAGTCCTCTCCTGCTGATGTTCAGGTGTATATCAGTATGTAGTGTCTCTACTTTAAAGAGTCCTCTCCTGCTGATGTTCAGGTGTATATCAGTATGTAGTGTCTCTACTTTAAAGAGTCTTCTCCTGCTGATGTTCAGGTGTATATCAGTATGTAGTGTCTCTACTTTAAAGAGTCCTCTCCTGCTGATGTTCAGGTGTATATCAGTATGTAGTGTCTCTACTTTAAAGAGTCCTCTCCTGCTGATGTTCAAGTGTATATCAGTATGTAGTGTCTCTACTTTAAAGAGTCCTCTCCTGCTGATGTTCAGGTGTATATCAGTATGTAGTGTCTCTACTTTAAAGAGTCCTCTCCTGCTGATGTTCAGGTGTATATCAGTATGTAGTGTCTCTACTTTAAAGAGTCCTCTCCTGCTGATGTTCAGGTGTATATCAGTATGTAGTGTCTCTACTTTAAAGAGTCCTCTCCTGCTGATGTTCAGGTGTATATCAGTATGTAGTGTCTCTACTTTAAAGAGTCCTCTCCTGCTGATGTTCAGGTTCATATCAGTATGTAGTGTCTCTACTGGGACATGTCTCCATGCTTTAATGTTACAACCAGAGCCCAGTCTGCTCTGATTGGTTAGCTGGCCGGCTCTGTTGTGATTGGTCAACAGCTTAGAGATGTCCCGCCCCTTAGCCTATCACATAAAAATATGTTGGAGCGCTAGCCAATAGCAGCGTGAAGTGTGACATAGTGATGTCATTGTGTTTAAGAAGTAAACAAAGGGAGTCCAATGGAGGAGTTTCAGGCAGGGGGTGCGGGATAGAAACACAGGGATGTTAGCTTTTGCAGACCATTAACATGCACAAAACTAAGGGAAAACCCCCAAAAAGCGATGAATAAAGTGATTGGTTGTTGTTGAATATGTGGAACAAGATTTTTTTTCTTGAATTTGAAAAAAGTGCCAAAACACCTGCACAAAGCCAAGAAATCCTTGCCGTTCCAAACCCCCCACACAGATCTATTACTGGAGAAAGAAATAAACACTGCTGTGCTCTTAAACCTGAGCATATTATCAGCAGCCAAACCAGTTTAACAGTTTTCTACTAGCCGTGCAGAGACCATATGTTCCCCCCCCCCCACCGCGCTGCCTCTCGCTCGCTGCGGTGCCAAACTTTTGTTCTTTGATTAACCTTGACCTAAAGGTTGTCTCTGTGTTTTTGTTGAACTGCACATTCTGGTTTAGGTAGTGTGAAATCCTCAGAGGGCTCACTGGCACCAGATGGGCTCTATGTGTGTGTGTGTGTGTGTGTGTGTGTGTGTGTGTGTGTGTGTGTGTGTGTGTGTGTGTGTGTGTTTGTACATTTTCCTCTAGTTACTGTCTTCAGTTTGACACCTTTTATTTTCAGTTTATTGCCTGTTAGATGCAATTAGTGGAAGTGCAGGATCATTAAAAAGCAAACTACTGAAAGTCCTTTTTTTCTAACCCTTTCTTTTAGCAAAATAGTTTTTTATATTTTCTTGATTTAACCATTTCTCCTGATAAGGATCTGGGGTGTGGATTCAAATCAGTTAACGTTTTATTTGAACTAGTCCTATTATTGATAACATCCTCAGTAATGTGCATTCCCAGTCTCTATCCATAGACATGTTGTTCTCTTGAATCCCTGTGGAGATTTGTTGACAGTGACACAAAGCTATGTTTGCATCTAGTGCAGGCTGTTGTATTAACTTTCATACATTTAGGAGATGTTGTTGCTGTCCATGGTGCTGATCTGAGTTGCAGTAGTGTTGCACGGTGCACCGATACTAGAAATGTATCGCGATACCCTGCCGTTAAAAACGTTACAATTCCTCCATTTCATTAGTATCGGTACTTTAAGAATGACATTGTTTTAAAGGTCCCATGTCATGGCCATTTCTACTGATCATAATTCCATTGTTGAGATCTACTAGAATAGATTTACATTGTTCAATTTTCCAAACTCACATTGGTTTCTCATACAGCATCTCTGTGTAGTATGTGTATTCACTCTCTGTCCTAAACGGCTTGTTGGAGCTCCTGCCCCCCCCCCCCCCCTCCCTATGAGCCCAGTGGCCGTCTGCGAGACAGCGAGACACAGCGAAACCCAGCCCGAAACCCAGCCCGAACACACACACACACACACCCGCAGCCTGGCTGTGAGTCGGTGTGCTCACACACCGACTCACAGCCTCGCCGCGTCCCGCCGTCTCAGGGAGGAGAATCCACGGACTTAACGTAACGGCTCCACGGATTGGTCCATTTGGAAAAAAAGCATGACATGGGACCTTTAATAAGAGCCGTATTTCCTGTGTGTGTTCAGCTGAAAGGGACAGCGATCTGACTCGGCATGACCCTAATATCATAACACTTGTCATTTTACCTTGAATGCCATTGCTTTCATTACTTTTTTTTATTGTTCTCATTGTTCAAAAGTTTGTGTTATGACTGAAACATTTTTCCAGGTTTGAAATAAAGCACAATAATGACATTTAAGACGGTTTCCCATTTTTTAAGAAAAGTATAGAAATCACAATTCTTGACTTTACTTGCTATCGGTATCAAAACAAAAATGTTGCTATCGTGACAACACTAGTTTGCAGAATGGGAGTTGCAGCTTTTCATGTTCAAAAAGCAACTGTCCTCTCTACAATTGCCTGAGTGGCTGAGTGTGTCCTTGCCAGGGAGGTTAAATCAGTGTGAGGTTGTGTTTGGGACGAGAGCCCAAATATGTTTGCACTAGGGCTAATCACAATGATGTTAAGCATTGCATAGCTTAACACCAGTACATCCACAACAATCAACGTGCATTACCAAGAAAAAGACTCCTCCATATCTCTATGTTTTAAACACTACTTTTTTAATAATAATGTATTGTATATGCATACATTCATGATACACCTTTCTGGCTACATTTCTATATTCCCTGTCTCGCCCCTTGGCCTATCACGAGCAATGTGTTGGAGCGAGTGTTACTGTCTCTATGTTCCTGAAGCAAACAAAGGAGTCCAATGGAGGTGTTTCAGGCAGGGGGGGGGGGGGGGGGGGCACAGGGATGTTAGCCTTTGCAGACCATTTACATGCACACAAAACGATATGACACACTACAGGGAAGGGAAAACCCCCCAAAACTGTCACTGACAACAGATTGTGAAGTTCGTTTTCGACTGTGCAGAAGTAAATAGAAGAACACAAATGCAAGAGAGGATTGGAAGAGGTAGGAAATCCATTGTGATGACTTTAAGAAAACTGCCTCAATTAAGTCAAATATTTCCAAATGCAGATCCAAATGCGGCAAAATAGTGTGTTCACTTTCTCACATCTATCCAAAACCAGATCTACTTGTTCTGAAGCATTTGTCTCATTGACTTTTTACCTCATGATCTGAATAAAAGGAATATTTAGGTACTGACATCCTCTCCACTTTCCATCCAGTGAGCCGAGCACTTTCTCAGACTAACCTTGGATCAAAAGATCCCATTAAGATGAAACATGTGAATGCGAATAAAGAACTATTTACATGAATCAAATGCAGGTGGTATTTACATGGGCTGTGTCATACATGCATTGTTGTTTTAATCACACTGTAACAACACTTGCATGCAAACGTGTCCGTGATGATGATGATGATGATGATGGTGATGATGATGGAGGAGTGACAGAGAGACGCTCAGTCTTGCCTTCTTTCCATTCGCCGTGGTACTCCTCGCCATTGGAGTAGCTGAAGGAACCTCGTGTCAGGGTCATGGGGCCTGCAGAAAGAAACAGATCAGATCATCACCTGAAACCCTGACATGCTAACGCACACAGCTGAGAGTTCATACTGTATGTGTCCACCTTTATCTAGGGCTGGGCGACATGTACTGTGTCAAATATCATTATGTCTGACCAAATATCAAAAATAAATTGACTAATATCACGCTATTGAGTTGCCGATTGTAGGGTTCAAATCAAATCAAATCAAATCAAATCAGGTTTTATTTATATAGCACATTTAAAAGCGATTTTTGGTCGAGCCAAAGTGCTGTACATGTAATAAAAACACATTACTACAATCACAATAAACGACAATAAATTACAACAGATATATCTTAAAAACAAAATAAAAATAAAACACACGGAAAAGTCAGGAGTCGTGAGTTAGTTCTTTCATTCATTATTTACACAACACAAGTCTTGGTAAATAATCATTTCATTTACTAAGCACCTAAAAATGGCCACAGTTCGAATGACACGCGTAAACAAATGTGTAGTGATAAACGTGATACGACATATGAAAATGTGCATGTTCGGTCGCCAGGTAGCTCAGTGGTTGCGTTCTCTCACCCAAAAAATATGTTAAAAAAGGAAAAGAAACTAATCACGTCATTTGTAGATAATACGCTGAAAGTCTTCTCCACAAACCTTTTGCCATAAATTGTATAAGGCCTACAGTAGCATGTCATACGGATATCGTATATGAGAAGGTCTTCAGGTATTCAGGTCTGTCTTCTTCTGCTGTTTCCTTCGGTGTTTACTTCCTGTCTGTCTTCACGTGTGGATTTATTTGCCCTGCAGCTAACTGTGTCTTTTAACTTCTGTCCTTCTCTTGTTTTCTTTCTCTTTTCTTTACTCCGGACAGTTTAGCCATCGTGACTCCAAAGTTTTGTGCTCACCACAAACAAATGTTTTAATATATAAAGCATTATGTGGGGATTTATGATGAAGTAACTGAAAACGTGTGTGTTTTTCTTTACCTCAGCTGACGTTGTTATTGTATTTCTTTCTGCGGATTGATGTAACATGACTTGTTCTTAACGTCTGCTCTACAGAAATAACAGAACGCATAATATCCAAATTGACCAATCAGAATCGAATATTCAACAGAACCGATTTCAGAAGCTGTGTACTAAGTACGGGATAATGTACAACGACAGTACGCCTCGTTAGTGTTTACTTCCTGTCTTCTTCTGTTGATTTATCTGACGTCCAGCGCTCTGTCTTTTACCCTCTTTCATTCTCTCTCTTGATCCTCCTTAGCAACAGTCATTATTGTTGCTTAGCAGCGGTGTGTTATCGAATATTAACAACCTCTGAAATGTCCAATTTGACCAATCAGGATAGAGGACTCAACCAAGCCGTGTAATAATAAAATAATACTTCACCTTACAGGTGGGTCACCTGATTGTGCCCCTTGGTCATGTGACTTATGTCCTTTTGGTGATCTATGAGTGGTGACATCACAACACACCATCACAACAGTGGTGTTGATATTCATGTAGGCTTCTTATTTATCTTCTGTCTCTTCCGTATATTATGGCTGTTTGACACTTAAAATATGAAATCCTCTGTCATGTCACCCAGCTGTGTTTACAGTGGTTCTCTGAGGGAATCCTCTCCTTTGTCTCTGAATGAGGTTACAGACAAACTGACAGCAGCATCACAGAGAAATGAAGCTTCAGAGGGAGAAGGAAACATCTGAAGCTCGTTCATTAGGCTCAATAATTTCCGAAATGCCATCAGGCATGCTGTCATATTAACCGGGAGGAGGAGTGTGTATCCCTCCATCTAATGTTGCCACAGTAACGGTAATCCCTTTCATCCTGCCGGCATGACGCTGCCAGCCTCCAAAAAAACACACACACTCACAAACACACACTCACACAACGAGCTGAGATAAAATAAACGGTTTACCTGTTTTATTTAAGAGCAACTCAGTCCGTTTTCTCTACATCACTGAAAACAACGGAGGATTTCTGCTCCTCTCAGCGACAATTTCGCCTTTTTTTCCCTGTTCAGCTTCTACTTCCTCCTGCCTCAGCGAGTCCGCTAGGTGCAGCGTTCTGATTGGCTGCCGACGTTCCACTTCAAATCAACACGCGCTCCTATTGGCTGCCGACGTTCCACTTCGACTCAAGACGCGCTCCTATTGGCTGCTTTCCTTCCATTAAGCCCAGCCCTCGGTATGAGACATATTTGTCGAGGGCAACGGGTTCAACGACTTAATTAGCCGGAGTGCTCCTCTGTTAAAGCGTTTTGCCCTTGCCTTGTTTTTATGTGCTGCCCACCGTCTCTGTAGGATTATAAAAGGCCTTCCTCTTAACGACACTGTGTCATTTCATGCTTCAATTTGGTGATTAGACCCGCGTTTTGGCGAGTTTTATGGAACTTGATTTATGTTTCTGCCGATGCGCTAAAACATCTGCACTGAGGTGCTGAGGGTTTGTCAAACGAGGTGATATGGATTCAAAGCCAATGAGGGTTTCATTCAGCAAAAAGCTACAGGAAGAATCAAGGTGACCCAAATGAGACAAAACTGCCGCCCTGATTCTGTTCCTCAGGGGAAGGGATTAAGCAAAAGGCTATAACTAATTCTGATTATTAATTAGCATGGGCTGCTTTGTGTTAATGATGCTGATTCAACAGATTTACATATATCAATAATTGCAGCCGCTTCTTAATCAAGCCATTTAGGAGGATTTTAACGCCTTGTGGTGCAATTAAAATGTGTAAAGTATAACTATATCACTACTGCTGTTTGTTTAATAAGTTGGTTTATATAACACTGTATATTCCAATAGATGCATTAAATGAAACATGCTCTTGATTTATATCCAATCAGTGTTGTTTCCCACAATGCACCACAGGATATGATTAATCACAACGTGCAGTAGGTAATTATTATCTAAACTCGTGCAAAAGTTGCAAAACATTATTCTTATGGTAGAGAATATGTTTGATTTTCGACTTCTTATATAATACTCGATTGTGAGATTTTGTTCAGACTATTTGTTATTTTACCAACTTTGTCAATTTTAATTTGTAGATTTCTCCTAAATTCACAATAAGCTAACATAAAATAAGGCTTATTTTGCATATTTAAACAAACGACTTTCAGAAAACGTAGAATATATTACAGTAAAGGTGTTTCTAAAATGAGATATTTCTCATAGTGAACCAGATATCTCAACTTCAGGAAATCTTACATTCACACAAGTTTTATTCCTCTCTATGTTCTGGACATTTTTGCAAAGGGGATTGCTCAGATATAATTCAGAGCCTCATTTATGACACATTTCGTTCCTAAAAACATGGCAAACAATTATTTATTTTGGACATTGTCAGTGTGTTCTGAGTCTCCTCTGTAAGCACCTGCATGTCAACAAAATAAAAACAAAACAATTTAACCCGGCTTCCTTCAATGTTCACATTTCCCTGCTGGAAATATGCTGTATGCAAATGAGCACACAGTTGATATGAAAATGACTCATTTGCATATTTAAATATAACATTTCAGAAACTTGTAAAACAGAAAATAGAAGACATTACCTTCTTACATTTCAATAATTGCATTTATTTTCTGTTGTTAGACAGGAAAGGCGACCAGAGGCTCTCAACTCATCAGTATTTCGAAAATCCACAACATTAAGCTTTAAAAATGTCAAGTATTACAAATCCAGTGTGTGTGCCAGCCATGTGAAACACTCAGTATGCAATGAATGGGTGCAATGAACTTGTAGTAATCCTTTAATTGGTTAAATGAGAATATCAGTCTACATAAACATTAGTGGGGACATATTACAGACTCACTATGAGCTAATTATGGGGATGTGTGTCTTAGTTTGATTGTTTACAGTCAAATTGCTTAATAATAATAATAATAATAATAATATACCATTGCACGCTGTACTCTTTAGTCAACTGGACATCATTATCAATGCGCAGATCACTGCACTGGTACAAACTCATCTATACCGCTATGCTTGGACTGCTGCCCTTCTACATATCCACTTACATCTCACACAAACAGTAGCTATAGCCTACGATCTCAAAATGACATCACTCTGTCCGTCCCCTCAGTACGCGCGGTGCTTGGGAAAAAAGCCATATCATACTCTGCCCCCTCGACCTGGAACACACTTCAGCAGGAACTCAAGCTGACCAGTTTGATACCCATCACGGATTTTAAACTAATTTTAAAAAAGCTGGAGAAATCATCTGTGGGTGTTTGCACCTGCTATATCTGAATACTTTATATGGATTTCAATGACTACTTTTTTTACGATGTTGTATTTTATTGTTGCCTCTGTGTTTAGTGTCCTGTCTGTCTGTAACTTTGTGTGGTAGTGTTACCACTGACAGGTCTCTCTTGCAAATGAGACCTTGTGTCTCAATGAGATTTTACACCTGTATAAATAAAGGCTAAATAAAAAAATAATATAATAATAGATTTAATTGATATTGCGCCTTTCAAGGGACCCAAGGCTGCTTTACAAGTTACGAGCAAACAACAAACAAACAAATAAATAGCACTTGTTTAGCAGCAGGCGGACTGTGATGGGTTAGGGTTCAAAGGCCACGGTGAACAGGTGAGTGTTTAATGCTTTAGGCTCTTTTATTTCCCTAAAATAATACTCAGGGCCCATGTCATGCTTTTCCGGTTATTACCCGTCCCCTTGTGTGTTATGAAGGTTTTTCTGCATGTAAACGGTCTGCAGAGTCACCAACCCTCAAAGTACACCCTGTAGCGAGTAAAACTCTAACACAGAAAAGACCTGTCTATGCTGCCCCAGAACGCCTCGTTGGAGATTTCTCTTTTTCCATTGTTTGCTTCCTGGGTTCTGTGACGTGTGAACACCCAAATCAACAACAAATGACCGGATTGGCCCAAATGGACCAATCCGCGGAGCACCTCACACACCAGGATCCCTTGGCTAACTAACAGGGAGTCCCCATTGACTTGCATAGAGCTCCCTGAACGCTGATAATAGACGAGTTGGGATGGCGGAGAAATGCTCTCTGCAGACCCATTCTCTCTGCAGACCCATTCTCTCTGCAGACCCATTCTCACAGCGTTATAAACCTTTTTCTTACTCAATATCAAGCCACACTTATTGTTGTTACTTCGGCTGTGAGTGTTTGTGTGTGCTCAGGATGAGTTTCGCTGTGTCTCGCTGTATCGCCGAACCGGAAACCTGTCCGCTCCTCGCAGCAGCTGGCAGCAGCTCGAAGCAGCGGCAAGCAGCAACGAGCCTCGCAACGAGCCTCGCAACGAGCCTCGCAACGTCCCGACCAATCAGAGCACACTGGGCTCACAGGGAGGGGGAGGGGGGGGGGGGCAGGAGCTCCAACAAATGTTGATACTCAGATTACGTTACTGATTACATTTTTTGACATGTAACTAGTTGTTGGTGGGAGGCGTGTGGTGCAGTGGATGTGTGCGTTGGTTTTCGGATCAGGGGGTCACAGGTTCAAACCCCACTGCAGTCAGCATGTTGTTGTGTCCCTGAGACACTTCACCCCAAATTGCTCCTGTGGTGATTGACCACAGTATTGAGTATGTAAGTCGCTTTGGATAAAAGTGTCTAACAAGTGACATGTAATGTAATGTTATTGTAACGGATTACATTTTTAAAGTATCCCAACCAATGCAACAAAGCCTCTTGGTATAGTCTCTAAAATCTCGAGCTGCAGTTTTCAGCCCACTGTAAAATATCTGTTAATTTAAACAATGCAGTGTCTTTATGCGCATTAAACCCGTGCCCTTTGACACACATAGTTTAAATCCATGGCAAATTTGGAGCCCAGGCGCCATGTGCTGTTCCCTACAGACACTCAACATTAAAACACACAAACATCCCATTAAAACCACCAATGACAGCTCATCGCAGCGAAACTGGGAGGGGAGGGGGGGGGGGGGGCTTTTGGGTGGGTGGAACATGTGAGTGTATAGAAAAGGGGGATGCTGCACAGGGTATGGGGGGTTTCCTTTAAGATGTAATCTGTTACAATAACTAGTTACATGTCAACAATGTAATAATAAAAAAAGGGAATACAATAATACGAAAAAATTATAACAGAAAAAAAGTTTAAAAAATAATATATAAAATAAATAAAATAAATAAAATAAATAAAATAAATAAATATAATTGATTAAATTAATAATAGTTCACAAATACTGTTTATGCTTGATCCAAAGCATAGACTGTATTGTTGTTAAATACATCAAGTGTCCACCTACTGCTTGAAAAAATAAATGTATTTAAACTAAAGAAGAATTAAAGTAGCCTAAATAAAAACCATCAAGAAAATTAACTCAGTACAACATATCGATCTTTATTTCAAAAATGCATTGCGATACTCTAATCCAATAGGTAATCTGATTACTTTTCAATGTAATCGAATACAGTTACCTTGTCTTTATATCCGGATACATGTAATCCATTACTCCCCAATCCTGCCTGTCCACCACATTAAAACACTGGAACATCCCATTAAAAGCACCAATGACAGCTCATCGCAGGGATGCTGGGAGGTGTGGAGGAGGGGGCTGCTTTTTAGTGGGTGGGACATATATATGAGCGCTATAGAAAAGGGGGATGCTGCAGCCCCTTCATATCTCACTCCACCCAGCAGCCCTAGAATAAAAACCACCGGTGACGTGCGCGCAGGGAAGCACCCAGCAGTATGTGCGCGCCCACGGGAGGGGCCGACAGAAAATGGCGAGTCTGTGCAAAAGGCAGCAATGCACGGTAGAGAGGCGCGGCTTTCGGCAGGAACTTGACTCTTGGAGGCACAAACTCATTCACTGTGTAGGTAAGCTCGCTTGGCATTGTGTGTGTGAGTGTGTGTGGTAAACTGTGGGTTTATAGGTTGGTGTTGGTGTTTTTCACGCGGCTGTATAATGTCCAACTGGAAAAACCTATATGCTGTACATGGAGCTGTCATTTTTTGTTACGCGCGGCTGTTGCCTCCCACCGGACGGATCCAAAAAAGATTGAAGTTTTTCGGGATGGACTCTTCCTGTTGACAGGTGTTCACGTGCACTCTCTGGCACCTGTGGGGCAGCTCAGTTGTGTTTTATCCACATTATGGGCTGCTTTTGAGCCACGGGAGTATTTTTATACATTATTCCATAGCTGTTTATTTATTGTAAGCAGGGCATGTCACGTGGTTCAGATGGAGCTGCGCCTCAGCCAATCAGATCCTTCGCTATAGGCAGGCTCGTGCCCGAGTGCGCGCCGCTGGGTTGAGTTTTTGGTGGTGGTGGTGGCGCGCGCTCTCAATCTCCAAACATGACTCCCCCCTCCTCCCCCCCTTCCACTTCCCTGGAAATCGGCTTTTGGGAGCGCGCATTGCTGCATTGGGGAAATAATTTTGTATTTTAGGGGGGAGGTATATAGGCGGGGGTCGACATGCGTCTTTATTTTTCTCTAAACCGGGGTTTGTACTTGTTGAAAAGCCGCTGCTGTTTGCTGGGAACTCTGTTTATGATGTTTGCGCGGCGCACTTAGAATAAAACACATTTATGAATTATTATGTTGTAATGTTTCTGACAGTATGGCACTGCAGGGACAATTAAAAAGCAGCGGCCATGACGTGTGTCTTTGTCTTGTTGAAACATTATTGACCTCTCCCTGATTTCCTCATTAGTTCGTTTTATTTTGGATTTCCTCATCCATACATCTCCACATCCCCCCCCCTCCCTCCCTCCTCCACCTCGGCACCTCCACCACCAACAACCCTCCGTTTCTGGTGTATTTCATTAGCTCAATTTAATCCGGTTACATCGACCCATCCCGATATTATGGCCAGATTATGATCCACTCTTCCCCTCTGATCTTTTAACCTCTCCGGGTTTCCTCGGCTCTTAATCTGGCTTTTATCTGCGCTATGGATGTCGGGGTGTTGCAGCTCTACTTGTTTTTGGATGCACTTCTGAGTCCAGATGTTGCGCGTTGAACTGTCACCTACTTACCCATCCAACCGCTGCGTAATAATAACCCACATGGCCTGAATCCGAGTAGGCTAGCGGGGCTTTTTAGTACAAAAAAAACCCTCCGTAATGAGAGGATATAGTGTCAAATTAAAAGGTTGGGTAATCTCTGACCTCCAGCACAAAGCCGTCAGGAATCACAATCAGTTGTGTAAACAAAAGGCACCAAAAGGCTTTCCTGCTCCTGCATCAGTTTCATCATTTAATGTGGGATTTTACATTGTGATTATAACCCCAACATGAGTTTTCACTCAGCAAAAGTGAGCTTTAATCTTTAGTAAAGCTTCACATATCAATAATAATAATAACACTGTCTCCTTTCTGCCTACATTTATATTTCAATTAGTGATATTTAAATGCTTTCTGGGTCATTTTGTGTGAGTTTGAAGCAGCAGAATCATGTTTCCTGCCCTTTTTAACACATTTTGGAGAGCTGGAGTGAAAAAAAGCATCTATTTAATTCAGTTTTCCAAGTACTCTCATCTCCTTTAAGAGAAATGATACAGATACCATGAGAAACATGCTGTAATCTCACTGTTGTGCACCTTGAATCCATATCACATTGATACCACAGGGGATGACAATGCCACAAAGCAGAATAATGAATGCACAGTTGGATGTTGCAGCTTGGTGTGTGTGTGTGTGTGTGTGTGTGTGTGTGTGTGTGTGTGTGTGTGTGTGTGTGTGTGTGTGTGTGTGTGTGTGTGTGTGTGTGTGTGTGTGTGTGTGTGTGTGTGTGTGTGTGTGTGTGTGTGTGTGTGTGTGTGTGTGTGTGTGTGTGTGTGTGTGTGTGTGTGTGTGTGTGTGTGTGTGTGTGTGTGTGTGTGTGTGTGTGTGTGTGTGTGTGTGTGTGTGTGTGTGTGTGTGATGTGTGTGTGTGTGTGTGTGTGTGTGTTGTGTGTGTGTGTGTGTGTGTGTGTGTGTGTGTGTGTGGCATATTTCTTCATTTGTGGTTGTTGATTGGTTTGCTATGCATGACGAGTTTTAGGGCCGAGCGCAGCAGTGGTCAGATTGAAGTCTGACATGTTTATTTGTTTGAGGACTAATCGGCTCTGAAACTGTAAGAAACTGAAACATCTCGAGATATGTTATATGTCCTCTGACCTGCAGAAGAAAGTGCTCCGAGTGCATGTGAAATGTGGAATACCCAGTGTGTAAAAGCATGTGTTTTGATTCGTTTTGAATATTTCTGTTTCTGTATAAGACCGTGAAAAGCAGCACATTGAGAAGCGTTGTTAATATTTGAGAAGCCTTCAAACTCTGCCCAAAAGTGTGCTTCTAAAAGTGCTCTGAGTGCAGGTGAAATGTGGAAAAACCAGTGTGTAAAAGCACGTGTTTTTGGGCTATCGTTATGAGTTTAGAATATTTCTGTTTCTGTCTAGAAGACCATGTAACACCGCACATTGAGAAGCGTTCAAAATCTGCTGTGTGTCCATTAGAAATGTGGAATATCCAAGAGTGTTGCATGTACTGTTAGGTTATTTGTATTAATGTTGAGTATTTCAACTAACGGAAAATCATATAAATACATAATAAAGGGATTTTTTACATTGTTGCTTCAAAAAGGACGTAAAGTGACACAAAACTTAAAGACTAATCAATTAATCAAGACAGTTTTTTTTCCTTTACTGTATGTAAAAAGGCACAAGGGGAAAACTTGAATCCCTTGATTTAACGGTTGATATCCAAGAAGCATTCAATCTTAAAATCAAATAAAACTAAGAAAAGCAGCACTTCTTTACCATTTAAATG